TTCCATCTTAATCAACAAAGCAATGTCTGATGGCAGGGGCTGTCTCTCCTCCCTCCGACTAGAAGCTCTGCAAGGGCAGGGAGCACCCGAAGGCAAGGGCCTTATTGCCGCCTTCAGGGTGCTCCTGCTTCAGCATAAGTACTTACACTTTCTTCACTGACAGACTAACCCTCCAAAGGTAAATGTAACCTTTTAAAATCTGTTTCAGATCTCAGCTGCCTCATTCTAAGGAGACCCAGTTCTGGCCTCCCCCCCACACCCCCCGCCATAGGCACCTCTACCCAATGGGTCCTTTTCCTTTGACTCCCCACTCCCCTTTGTTCTAGCTCCTCCCTCTTCTGCATCACTCCCATCACCCCCTCTGCAGATGCTCAGCCAGGCCCTATCTTTGCCTTGCATTTTCCCTTTCCAAGAAGATTATAAATATTTACTTATTCCTTCTCTGCCCTCCCCTGTTCCCCCTGTTCTGATGGATAATGTCCTGGGATGCAGCTGAACTGTCTCCCTCCCAAGAACTCTGAGGCCAACATGGTGGGGCCTCCCAAGGGTCATCTTGTCTGGCCCCCATCTTTAGGCTTTTACTTGCTAAAGCCAGCCCAGGTAAATGAGAGCCCATTCCTCACCAGGGCATAGCACATGTGGCTGCTAGTCCATAAATGCTGGAGGGTGGGAGGGAGGGAGGGAGGAAGGAAAGGAGAAGATTTCATAGCCTTTTCTTCCAAATCCCTGGTGCTTCTCTCTCTGCCAGTTCTTCTCAGCCTCTAGCCTCTCTCCCTCTTGCTGCAGGTGAGGCCCACTTTCTCTTGGTAAGACATCAATAAAACTGAGTTGCTCTCCTCACTCTAGAAATGTGGACAATATGTTGTCCTGCCTGGGTCAGCCCTTGCTCTGAGTCTTCTCAGCAGGTTCAACTGCTGGTCTCTGATTCATTTGTAAATATCCTTCCTTCCTTGAGCCTCCCTCCACCCCGTAAGACCATCATGCATAGAGTAAAAAAGCCTTATGGATGGGAAGGGACAAAAGTCTTAGCCCCAGAGAAATGACCATTTAGTTAGATGGTTCAGATATGATTGGTGGGTAACAACCACCCCAAAATGTCCACTGTTTGGAACAACAACAGCCATATATTTACTCACAACCCTGTACATTTGGGCAGGGAATGGTTTCTCTCTCCTTTATGTGTTGTTGCAAGAGTGGCTCATCTGGGGCCAGAGAATCCAAAATGACCTCACTTACATACCTGGGGCCTCAGCGTTAGGTGGTTGGAACAGCTGGGGGCTGCCTGAGCCCCTCTCTTTCTTGTTACGTGGCCTTTCCCTCCAGCAGAGCTGTTGGACTTCCGTACAGCATGGCAGCTGCCTTCCAAGAGGGAAAAGATAGAAATTGCAATGACCCTGAAGGCCAAGGCCTGGAAGTCCCAAAACATTTGTTCTGCCACATCCTCTTAGTCAAAGCGAGTCATGAGACTAGCTCGGAGTCAATGGAGGAAAAGCAGACCATACTGCTTGTAGCACACAGGCAAAAGAGGTGGAAGAACTGTGGCCACTGTATTTGCCCATGGGCCACCACAATGGTATTAACACATGAAACCGATCCAGAATCACTAGCTTCTATGTGGGTCCACCCAGCCTCCTTGCAGGGGGGAGGAGAGTAGGCTGGCAGGTTCCTTGGAGAAGCAAGTACTCCAAAGGCCTTTGGGGCTGTGGCCATGGTAGGTTGCCCTTTAGGCAAAAGGGGAAGGGGCTCAGGCTGGGCAGAGCAGAGTTAGGAAGGAGCACTGTATCTCCAGGGAAAACAGTGGCCAGATCAGAGGTGAGAGTGTGAGTTCCACAGAGGGGAGAAAAGCTGGGACAACGTGGCACTGGGTCTTGAGAGGTCCTTCGGGAAGGCTGCAGGGGGTGTATGAGCAGATCTTATACAATCGGGGGACACAGCATGTTCATTTTATCCTTTCTTCCTCCATAGTCTATTTAAAGACCCTTTCTCCCTTCCAAGGCTGCGTGTTGCAATCCCTTTCGTGCTTAGGTTTCCAATCTTCTACTGATGAGCCTCAGCCCCTGGAGACCTCTCTTGCCTTGCCTCGCCTTACCACACTCAGGGAAATCTGTATTTCAGTCCTGGGTTTGGCCACCACCACATCCTCCCCCTGTCCCACTTTTCTTCTGCCTGTTTGTATTCAGTCTAGATGATTCATTTTTATTTCTTGATGTTCTGCCCTAGCCTGGGGCAACTGTGGTGAGGTGGGAAGAGCACTAGACTTGGAGTCAGGAAAGCTGGTTTAAATTCTGCCTTGGCTATTTACTGGCTGTGTGTCAATTTGGGCAAGTTATTTACCCTCTCTGAGCTTCACTGCCAAGCAGAAATAATGAACACTATCTCCAGGGTGGCTAAAAGAAGGAGACAAGGCCTGGCATAGATGAAGAGGCCTCTGTTCCTAATCCCCACCACCGACTCACCCAGCCCTGCTCAAGTCTGCACCTACTCACAAGCCCCTCTACCCACCACCCCCACCAGAGCCAGCACTCACCAACCTCCACAGCCTTGGGGTGAAACAAACCCTCGGTCACCAGGCCTCAGTTTCAACAGTGTCAGGCAGATAACAAATGTTTATTGAGCATGTACTATGTTCCAGGCACCACTCGAAGAGCTGGAGATACAACAATGAACAAAACAGATGAAAATCTCTGCCCTTACATTGCTTGCATTCTAATAGTTGGGGGAGGCAAAAGGGGGAGTAAATTTTAAAGCTACACTGTCCAAAATGGTAGCTACAAGCCACGTGTGTATATTGAGTGCTTGAAATGTAGTTACTCCCAACTGAGATGTTTGATAAAAGCAAAATACACATCAGATTCAAAGACTTAGTACCAAAAAAAAGGTAAAATCTCTCATCAACCATTTTGATATTGATTCAATGTTGGAATCTTTTAGATATGTTGGGGTTAAGTAAAATATGTCATTAAATTAAATATCAACTGTTTCCTTTTACCTTTTAAAATCTGGCTCCCAGAACATTTAAATTATATATGTGGTTCACATCATAGTTGTATTGGCCAGCACTGTTCTAGAGTATGTTATAAGGTAGCATGTGCTATGGGAAAAAAAAAAAGAAAGATGATGAGAAAAGGACCCTGAGTGCAGAGGGATAAAGGGATATCAACTGTAAATGCAGTGGTCAAGGGGACCTCACTGAGAAGGTAACAAGACATGAAGGCAAGAGAGCCACACATGCTACATCTGGGGAAAGAGAGCTCCAGGAATCAGGGACAGCCTGTGCAAAGGCCCTGAGGTGGGAGCACACCCTCTGTGAGCAGAGAAACTGGTGTAGCTAGAACTGAGTGCTAGGTGTGGGGTGGGGGTGGGATCAGAAGCCATTGAGTCAGGGAGATAGAAGCAGCTGAGATGGTGCAGGGCCTTTTAAGGCCATTTAATGGACTTTGGCTATTTCTCCAAGTAAAACAGAGTCTTCAGGGTTTTGAGCCAAAATGTGACATGATTCAGCTCACATTTTAACAGACCTACTCTGGCTGATGAGAATTCAGGCGAGAAAAGAATCCAGGAGGCCCACTGAGAGGCTCAGGCAAATATCCACTTCAGATGACAAGAGCCTGGACTCACAGAGCCATCCTGCAGATTCAGTGTTGACCAGCACAAGAGCTGCAGGTGGAAAGTGCTTGGAAAACGAGCACTTAACTCACTTAACTAGACCCAAAGTTGTGTGAGGGCAGGGACTGTACAGTGTGGCCAGGAGAGGCAGGGGGTGCCCTCCCAGATCAGCCACTGGCTGTTTTCCTGGAGGACTACAACAGCCTCCTCCCTGCTGGGTTGCTCCATTTAAAACCCCTCAGCTGCTAGGCTCTTAGCACCATGGACACTGCAGGCAGGGTCTATTCCTGCCTCTCTCCCACCTCCTATCCCCCTCACCCACCCCCTGGGTACCCCCTCCATGCTTCTGCTCACACTGTCCCTTCTGCCTGGAATGTCACCTTCAAGCCTTCCACCCTCCCCTGCCTGTTCTCTCTCCTACACACGCTTTACGGGGCAGCCTAGAAGTAATGTCGTGAGCAGACTCCCTAGACTCTACCACCTCCAATTCACCCCCTCCCCCAAGCGGAATCAGATGCCCCCATCATATTTGATGTATTTTTCTATTCATGAATGTATAGTTCTGTCTCCTCACCTATCCACCTTCACCAGATCTTTAAGGGGTGATATTGTATCTTATTCATAACAGCATCCCTTGCCCTGGCGTGATGGCTGATGGCTCAATAAATACAGTTTGAAAGACTAAGAGGCTAGAAAAGTGGATTTGGAAGCACTGTCACTAATGCCAAAGACCCAGACAGCTCCCATCCTCCCCAGGTCTGCAGGAGAGAAGGGCCCAGGCAGTAAGGCAGTGCAGGGAGTCCCCTCAGGGACAACCAGAGCTGAGGATCCACCTTCCAGAGGCTCAAGGAACCTCTGGACTATGTAAAACTAGAATTACTCCCTGGGTCACAGGCCCCTATGAGCACCCCCTTCCCACTCCTAACCTATTACAGCCAACAAGGCTCCAGAGCCAAACGCAGACCCCTCCTATCCCCTGGGCAGCAAGCTCAAACACATGACCAGTTCCTTCCCTGAACAAGGGACAGTGCCTGGATCACGTGATTCCTGAAGGCAGCCCTATTCACTGCAGGACCCTTGGCTCCTGCTGAGAAGCTGTCTCTCCCTCCCCCTCTTCCAGAACGCCCCTCCCCTCCTTCCACAGATGACAGAGAATGGCCGAGCCCCCCCAGGACTGGCCCAGCCAGAATGGAAGGACTCTGGCCCCCAGCACAATGAGATGGGTCACCCATATCCTACACACCTGGAACCCCTTTCCATACCTCAGACAAATGCCATGTTCCCCAAGGCAGGAGGGAACGGGGGCAGGAGAAAGTCTGGAAGAAGGATTCAATGGAGAAGGAGAAACCAGCAGGAGCTTTGAGATCAGAATTAAATTCTTTAATACAAAATGCTTTTTTTTTAAGATATATCTGTATTTCTTTGTTGTTGTTTAAAAATAAATATGTACTACGGAATATCTCGAAAAACTGCACTAGAGACAAAGATGTGATGTTAATATCTTTTCCCCCACAATTATTACGGATAAACAGTAGCACCAATAAATAAATGATAACAAATATTAAAATTAAAAAAGGAGAGAGATTTAGTATGTAGAATTCTCTATTTTTCCGTTTTGTTTTTACATATAAAAAACAGAATAGCAATGTCTATTTTATCAGAATCACATATATACATAAACATATATATATATTTATATATATATATACAAACACAAGTTGCCAAATATATATATAGTATGTAGATGTATATTGAAACCTTATTTCAAAGGAATGTGTGGTGGGGAGCCAAGGGAAAGGGGAGGGCAGAGCTGAGTGTTAGCAAAATTAAATATCTGTTCAGGACAAGCTAGTGACTGTCACCATCAGGGAGAGAGAGATTGGAAACATGAATTTTATACACAAAGACCAGTACAAATAAGAGCGAGAGAGCAAGAAAGATACATCTCATAAATAGTTGAAATTAAATATTAACCAAGAATACTGAAAAAAACCCTACTCTTTAATTAAATTAACTGTTTTAATTTCTAATTAAAAAGGGCTATTAAATAAGTACCGTATATAAAACACTTCTCTTTTCTCTGCCTCCAGGGTGGGCACGGGGATCCTGCCCTGTCTCTTGATGCCGCGGGAAGGGTTGGGCTGGGGGACAGAAGAGGGTTAACCACTCACACACACACAGCCAGGTCTCCTGGGGGGACAGAACTAGTGGTTTCAATGGTCTGAGGACATCTGGCCCTCCTGGGCTGCACCCAGGAGGCCAAGCTGGGAGAGGGCCAAGGCAGAGGGCCATCCCTCAGATGACAAGCTCCACCAAAGTCGCTCTTCTCTTCGCCGAGACATGTCAGTGGACTCCTGGGCATCTCGGAAGCAGGTGAGAGGAGATGAGGGCTGCCCAGGCTCCTGAATCTTCCAGGCAGTGCCCTTGGGGGCAAGATGCCCGTGCAGCACATGAAGGGGATCCCCAAAGCACAGCAGTGTCCCGAGGCTCCCCAAATTCCTGGTCAGAGCCAGCGTCCTTGTCCCTGTACCTGTCGTCCATCATTCTGTCCATCTGACTTGGGGTAGAGGCTCGGGGCCAGGGCTGGGTTTGTCGGTGTTCCCAAAAGCAGGCCAAATTTGCCCCCGTGCCCTGGCCCTGCACATCTCCCAGGCAGGGGAGGGGACCCTGGCTTCCCAAAGAGGGACAAAATGACGATGCCAGAGTCTTCCCTCTTGTCCTCTTCCCTGTCAGGATCTGGGTGGGGACATTCTCCTCCCAACTCAAGTCCACAGCAGTCAAATACATCCAGTGAAGACACCAATAACATTAGCAATGTTAATTTAAAAAAAGAATATATATATTTTATATATATATAAAATATATATATTTATTTTTATATATATAATATATATATATATATAACACGTATGTATGTGGGTGGGTGTGTCTATAGGAATCCCAGAAATAAAACTCTCTAATCTTCCGGGCTTGGTGATTTAGCAGCAAGAAAATAAAATGGCAATCCAATTCCAAGAGGGACCGTGCTGGGTCACCCGCCCGGGAATGCTTCTGCCGGAGTCTCATCCTCCGGACCCAAAGTGCTCTGCGCAGAATCTCCTCTTCCTTCATGTCAGGTTTCTGGATTCAGGATTATTCTGTTGACGGTGGTGGTGGTGTGGTGGTGGCAGCGGCTGTCAGTCGTGTCAGTCTTTCCTGGTGAGACATCTGGTTCCCGAAACCCTGAGGGAGGCTCCTTCCTCCAGCCCGGCTCACCGCCTCGGCTTGTCACATCTGCGGGGAATGGGAAACAGAGGCCGGCGGGGTTAGGGCCAGGGGAGGAGCCCTGGTGGGGAGGTCGCAGCCTCCCCTTCCTACAGCCCAGCACTGGCAGCAGAGCGGAGAGGAGAAAGCGTGGCCCTGCCTCCAGGAGCCCCTGCCTGAGAGGTCCCTTGTGAGCAGCAGCTCTGCCCAGGGCTCCCAGTCTGCCCTCTGGAGCTTACAATCTAGATGAGACAAAACAAGGACATGAGGACATCTCATCACAAACAACAAATGAACACGTACCAGAGAACAGTCCCTACTGGACATTTAAGAACTGACGGGTGAGCAGAGTTGGACCAAGTCAATCAGCAAAGCGTCGACAGAAAGAGGTGTTCCAGCTCAGTTTCTACGGGGCTGGTTTGGGGGAATGAGTGGGGACAGCAAGGGATGGGGCTTGTGCAGAGGTCCAGCTGGGGCAACGGATTGGAAGGGAGGTGCTGCCTGGGGGGGAAAGTGAGGTTCCAAAGAGAGGGGGAGCCAGCAGGGCCTGGGGCCCCGGGAAGGTGAGGTACACGCCTCCCTCCCCACACCCTCCATCCCGGCCTCAGCTGTAGGCCTCAGGTACCAAGCTGCCTGTCCTTTCCAATATGCTATTCCACTTAGGGCAGGGGAAGCAGAGGGGATGCCTAGAACTTTCCCATCATGCCCCTGCCCCTGGGCTGCTCGCCTCCTACCCGCCCCACATAAGGAGGGAGCAGAGCAGTTCCTGACCTTCTGAGAGCCTGGGAACAGGGATCCTAACCCTCCAATATGGGGACTGAAACTCCCCCATCCAGCCAGGTTAGGGGGTGGGTTGGGTAACTTCAGTTCACTCAAGTCACTGCAGACATTCCCCACCCCATCTCTGCAGAATAATCACCATGGTAACCCTAAAATGGCAAGTCCCTTATCTTCTCTGAGGCCCCCAGGGACATAGATACCCCTCATCCAGCTCTAGAGTGAGGCAGAGCCCCCCACCTTCAGCACCACTGTACACTTCCTGTCTTAACATACTGCCAAGACAGACAGAATCCCACACCAACACCTCAGGCCCTGGCCCCCAGTATCATCTGATACTCACAAGCCACAGGAATGCAGGGGACGGGAAAGACAGCCATACTCTAAAGACTTTGTTAATGAATGAGGCATCTGGACTGGCCAGGGGGCACCCTGGCCCTGCCAGGAATCCCCATAAAAGCTCCTCTCCTCTGGGTGAAGCTTATGCCGACCCAGAGGTCTCCTGCCTTTGAGTACAAGCCAGATGGGTATAAACGCCAGTCAAAGCATCAAAAGATTGTCAGCCACCTGTCACGGCCATGTGCTCCTGCCTTCACCTCTGAACTCAGACGTGCATTCACACATGCACTTGACGCTTCCTTGGTCCCCAGTGTGAACAAGGGACAGGGGTACAGATGTCGTGGGAGGTGGGAGGTGTCAGACAGGTGAATAAAAACCAGGCCCAAGTGTGAGGAGCTTACAGTCTAATATTAGGAAAGTAGGCAGGCCCGATCCCCCCACCCATCTGGGGGCATTTGGAAATATGTAGGCCGTTTGGGGCATTGCTGTGCCTATTGGAGTACTAAGGGTCCCTAGTGTCCCCTGAGGTTACATATCCTATCCACCCTAAATCAACAGCCAGAACCTGTGCCCTCCAGGACCCCAGTCTGAGGACAGACTCAACCCCTGTCCCCGTGGAGAGACACTGAAGGAATGAGAAATCCAGTGGTACAGACCTCAGACAAAGTGGCGAGGACCACAACTGTTTGCACTTTGCAGAGGCAGCACCCCCCATGCCGGGAAGGGCCCTCCCTATTAGTAAAGGTGGTAGTAACAATATCAGGACCAACAGTCACCACGAGCAGGACCACAGGACACAACACTCAGCTTGCGTCCACACCACCACATGAAGCCACACTGGCCTGCCCACTCAGGCAACCAGGGCAAGATCTGAACAGGCCCTGCCAGGCCGGCCAGTGCCTGCCACCCAGCGCAGGGACAAGCAGAGAAGACAGCGGTCACCAGGCAGGCAGCTAGAAGCCCAGCAAGCAGCTGGCCCCTCTCAGGTGTGCTCGCTCGCTCTCTCGCTCTCTCGCTCTCTCGCTCTCTCTCTCCCCTCTCTGACTTGCTCGTCCTCTGGGAACCAACCTGCAAGTACGTTCGTTTAACTCAAGCTGCCTCGCCTTGCAACGCGAGTCTGTGTTTTTGCAGGAACATTTACACGTCTGCGGATCTTGTACAAACAAATGCTTTCTCCGCTCTGAGCAAGGCCCACAGGGACTGCAAAAGGCAAAAGGAAAGACATCTAAGCTAGAGCGTCAGCAGAGAGAGAGAAAAAAAATCCATGCAACACCCCCTACCATGTCGGCAGCGGCACCCCCACCCGGCTCTAGGGCCCCCACACCCTTCCACGCCCTGGAAGGATCCGATGCCACAGCAGAAGACAAGACAGAGCGGCGGAAAGAGGCAGCACTTGGCTAGGAAGTCTGCCCGCAGCAAGAGGAGGACACAGGCAGGCAGAGAGTGCAAGGACAGGGCTGTCGTAAGGGGCAGAGCTGTCCCATGGGCACAAGTGCAGATCTCGGGCCATGGGGCCCCAACGGCTACCACCCCTGAAAAAGCACACCTTTGACTCTCCACCTCCTGGGGATGGCAATCGGGCCACCTTCTCCCTGTGAGAGGGCTCGTGCCCAGGCCTCTCCACCAAAGGTGGGCTGAAGCAAGGAGTGATGGCAGGCTAAGCCCAGAGGCAGGGTCCACAGGCCAGGCCACTGGTGACCACAGGGCCCATGACAGGGCCTCCCCCACAGTCTTGAACCTGAAGGAAGAGGCTGCCCTATGGGGAGGCTTCTGTGGGTTGGGCTGGAATAGGGGGCTGCCTTCCAGAGGCCCCAAGTCCACAAGGAGGGGCTGCAGCAGTGCCTGACCCCACCTCCTCTTTCAGCCAACAACAAGCTGCCTCGTGCCATTCGCATCCCTTCCTCACGACACGTCTGCCCTCCCCACCAGCCTCAGCTTCCAGACAAGTGTGGAAGCCTAGAGCAGTGGAAACCAGTTGGGTGAGCAGGCGTCAATGCCTGGCACCCGTGCCAACATGGGCCCGCCACCAGTGCCCAGTGGGTGAGAGAAAGGCGGTGCCCAGCCAAGCCAGAGGCCCCTCCCTGAATCCTCCAGGCTCCCTCTGCCCATTTGCCCACCCCTCAATCCTGGACCAGCCAGGCCACCACCACATCTACCCATCGGTGCCAATTAGTGGAGCGAGAGTGAGAGAGAGACACTAGGGCAGAGGGGAGGATGGGAGCTGAGGCGAGGGGGAGGGAGGGAGGCTGGGTTCCGGGGTCCTGCAGACAGGAGTTTGATTGGGGGCCTGGGAGGCTCCAAGGAGTGAGACAGCGGTGGCACCACGTACACGCTCCAGGATTTATACCGGGATTTCTTGCGCTTTCTTTTTTGCCCCTTTCCCTTTCCTCGAACTGATTTTCTGGAAAATAAAAAAACAGAGACAGACAGAGAGAGAGCGAGGGGGAAGGGGAGAGGAAAGGAAGCAGTGAGGAGGGCAGGGACAGGACACGTTCTGTGGCATGAGGCTTGTGGGGATAGGCGGGCTCCAGGGAAGAGCTTGCACACACGCACACACACACAGGATGGGGCAGCAGGCGCTCAACAACTCCTCCTTCTCACATTGGCCACCCTTGGGGGACAAACCCAGCCCCCAGCAAGGCTCTGGGTGGGGAGCAGAGGCTGGGCGGAGAGCACTGGACCCACAAGCCTCCACACTCACGGTGTCTCCTGGTCCCAGGCAGGGGACAAAGCCTAGAGGGCAGGCCCTTTGCCCAGCATCCCTGAACAAATCTGACCCTGAAGGTCAGGGGGCCATAAAGGGAACACCTGAGTTTAGGGAGCAGGTCAGAGACCTGACTTGATGAGGGTGTGGGGGATGGGGACACAGTCTGTGCTCCAGGCACCTTCTGCCTTCATTTCCATGTACAATGGTGAGGGGGTCCCTCCAGGGCCAGTGTCGGCAAGCAGCTACATTGGGAGCTGGCACAAAACCAAGGGCGGCACATGAAAGGCACCAGCCAGCTCAGCCATAACCTGGGCTGAGAGGCGGGCCTAGGTGTCAGAGCCCCAGGCAGGAGGCAGGGTGGGGTAGGAGTTAGGGAGGCATCAGGAGGAGGGGCCTGGGCGGCACTTGGCAGGGCGTCCTCTTTCCAGCCTGCCAAAGCCTGCTACACCATTTCACCAGACACTCTCCCTGTGGGCAAGGCAGGCGTTTGGGGAATGGGAAAGGGGAGCAGGCTGAAGCCTGTCCCCCTCAAGGGAACCAGTGCTCTCCATACCTACCAGGCCCAGAGAATGCCCCTGGGAACATCTACCACAGGGGAGAAACGAGGGGGAAGGGACAGAGGAGAGGGGCAAGTCTGCTCCCTCTCAGGAGAAAGTACTGGAAGGTAGAAGGGCTTCACTCTGTCTCACACACACGCACATGCACGTCCACTCTCTCTCTGAGCCTGCTCTCCCCAGTCACTGCTCTGGCAGCCACAGCAATCCTGGAAGCTGGGGACTTAGGGAAGAGACAAAGGGTTGAGGCTTAGGGGGCTTCAGTGTTCCCAGAGCATTGAGGGCAGACAGGATGGTGGGTGGGGGAAGGGCAGAGGTGCTCTCTCTCAGTCTCTTCCCCTGCAAGGCTCATCCCCCATGGCAGCTGCTTGCCCCGTCTTGAAGGCTCACCACCCCCAGACCTCACCCTCCACACCATCCTGACCCAACCCTCCACACTGAGCCACTGGAAAATTCAGAAAATGACCAACGTTCACCTCCTGCTCCCTGGCCAAGAGGGCTGAGTGTCTCCGGCCTGCCTCACTCCCACAGGAGGGCACACACTAAGAAAACACCCTAGCCAGCCCCAAATCCAACTGCACCACTGCAGCCACCAAAAGAGGCCATTTCCTCTGACACACAAAAGCTGGCCTCTCTGTCACCCACTCCCTCTCCCTGCTGTGGGCAATGGGAAGCTGGAGCAAGTCAAGAGCCAGTGACCTCACCAGCCCCCGACACACCAAGATGGCGAGTCCTGGCCAGGAATGGCCTGGAAACACATCGTCTATTCCAAAGGAAGTTCCAGGCACCAGGCTGGGTTTTGTCACTCATTCTAGAAACATAATCCTGGAGTTTGCTCCATCCCACTGCTGCCACCACAAGTCCCCGTAAGACCAACTCTCAGACCCAGTGAAGCCATCAGACCCCCCTGAGAGAGGAAGCCAAGAGCCCCAAACCAAGACAACCAGCCAAGGAGAGGGAGAAGAGCTAAAGTCATGGCCACTTACTTTTCTTGCCTTGCTCTGTCTTTCTTTGGTCTGCAGAGGGATAGAGATAGAGAAAAGAACAAACTGAGAGGGGTTCAGATGGCAATGGTAATGATAACAATAAAAACAATAATAGTAACTTAACACAGTATATAAGATAACCAGTACAGTTTTAATCTCTTGACATATAACAACTCACTCAATCCCTCTAACAATGACAGGAGGTACATACTATTATAGGGCCCATTTTACAGATGTGGAAACTGAGGCACATTGGAGTAAAATTGAAATGCCCGTGGTTATACAATTGGAAGGTGGATATGGGCTAACAAGTGGAATGTGCTTAACCCTGGCACAGAGCAGGCCCCCTGCAGCCATTTGCTAAACAATGAATCTGTCGCTCCATCCTCACCTGCATTCACATTTGTTGTGCTGTAGGAAGCTCATCTCTCCTATATGTTGGCCTTGGTGAGGTTTAATCCGCATAATCTGGAGGGAAAGGAAGCAGATCACAGAGGTTAGTGACCCAGCCAGCCGTACCTAGGTGGGACACCCCCATGGCTCCTGCCACTCAGCACCTAGAGCAGGGATGGGTGGTGGAGGTAGGGGGACCAGGGGCTCTACCAGAAAGAGCCTCAGGCCCACCCCAACTCCCCTTGCCCTGCTGACCTCAAGGAGCCCCTGCTCCTCTTGAGGGCAGATGCAGCTGCAGGGTTGGCCAGGCTGGGAATTCGGGTCCTGGGTTCTTGCCACTCCCTGTCCCTCCCCTCCTGTCATTGCCTCCAGGCCTGACCCTACCCCTAGTAGCTACCCAAGAGCCACCCACACCTCCCTGGGTTCTTAGGTCTCCCTCCCATCCCATCCAGGATAAGATGTGCCCCATCACCAGGCAGCAGCAAACTGGCTTTTTTAACCTTCCACAGTCCAGGCTCATCCAGCTTCCCAAACAGAACCCCCAAGGAGGGAGGGCCTCTTCCTCCAAGAGTGGAAGGAAGGGGCTCCTATCACAGGTGTCAGCCCCTTCCCGAGCCCAGGGGGCAGAGCTCAGAGAGGAAGAGGAAGTGTTCAGGGCTTGCTAGAAAACTCGACTGGGAAATGCAGTATCTTTTCTCCAAAGAGAGCAAGACCCCCACATCCCGCTTAGACTGACTCAGGAGCAGGAGCTAGGCAAGGTAAGCCTGGCTCCTTCCTTCAAGAGCTGCCCAGGAAAGGACCCAGGACCATCTGTTGCCAGCCTAATGCCTCCACCGCAGCCCCTGCCCCCACTTCCCACAGGTACGCACCTGCATGGTGATGTTGAACTCCTCGGTGGGCACACACTCCAGACCTTCATCATTGCAGCAGCCCCCACACCTCATCAGGGGCACACAGGACGGCTTAAAGATGTACTCGATCTCATCAGGGTACTCCTGGAAGATGTCTACCAGGGTCTCGATTGGACGGCAGTAGCTGCGCTGGTAGACGTCCATGAACTTCACCACTGCGTGGGAGGGGTGACGTATGAGCCCAGCAGGTCCCGTAAGAGGTAGCTGGCCCCTATTTCTACCCAGCTCTGAAAGACTGCTCCTTTCCATGACAGGTACGTGCTATAGGATAAGTCCTTCCAAAAATTTAACTTAAGTCCCTCAGGCTGTGGTTAAAGTCCTTCCCTAAGTTCTCCACCACCAACATTGATGAAGTCGTGTTTTTATTCCAAAGATCACATGGTGCTGTCAGGTTCTGAGGGAGACAGCCTGACACATCTGACCCCCCTGACTCACCATGACGGTCAAGCCAATCCCAGGGTCAACCTTGAGTGTGAGTATAGCTGTTGAGGGTGCTCTAAGCTTCCAGTGGAAGGAGGAACAGTCAGCTTAGCAAACCTACTCCCCATTTCCCTCCAACCTCCTCACAGCCACTGCCATATCATTGACTGACAACCACTCAATGAGCACTTCTTATGCACTGGACATGTACACAGCAGTCCACGTATGTCACCTCAAACAATTCTCCCACCATGGTACTATGAGGTTTTAGTAGGACCCCTACTTTACAAATGGGGAACTAGAGACTCAGAGAGGCTGAGTAACTGGCCCAAGGACACACTGCCAGTAGGTAATAAAGTCAGCTCCGACATCAAAGTCTTCCCAAGCCAACATCCTGTGAAATAGAGGGGAAGCATCAGGGGCACTCTGCCATCTGTCAGCCCTCCCCCGTAGACATGGGCTGAGGAGATGGTGGGCACTGGCACAGAGATCGGGTCTGCCTGGAATCAGCAGGTGGCTGTGGGCAGGCACACTGCACTAGCCCTGCCAGCCACCGATAACCCCACCCAGGAGGGCAAACTGCTTGCATCATGGAAAAAACGGTGCTGCCACTGCAGCCACAGAGTGTTTCTAGAAGCTGATCTGGAGGGAGACCAGGGTAAAGACAGCTTCCCAGGCTGGCCGTGGAGCCTGGGGTGCACCGGAGCATGAAGGAGTAATTCTGGGCCACAGGGGCGGGGCCCTTGAGAATAAATAAAGTCAGGACTCTGGAATGACTACTCCAAATTGTGGCCTGGCCTGCCACTCCCCATCACACCCCCTCCCCCAACACCAACACCACATAGCAGTCCTGTCCCTGAAATGAGTTTCCCCTGTACAGGAGGGAAGAAGCAGCACCCAGCCCGCGAGGAAGCCTGGGCTCTGGCCAGATTTGGTGTGACCTTGGGCCCGTTCCTCCCTCTCAGCCTCACACTCTGCACATCTGTGTAAGTGGGTTGGGCTGATCTCTAAAGACACTGAAACAGAGGCTGAAGTGTAGGGTTTTGCCTTCCGTTTCCAGCCCTAAGAACAAGTGCCCTTTTCTCAGCCCAAGTGACATAAGGTTTGGAAGCCCACCAAGTCATCTGAAGTGCATACCCTCAGCTGCCTCTCCCCAGAGGCCATAGCTGAGCCTTCCCTGGCTCCTCCCTCCAGAGGAGTGAGGGAAGATGAGCTAGTGGATTAAGGAGGATGTGGGGGCTGAGGGGAAGAGGGGGAGGCTACAGGTGTGAAAACAGGAAGGAAAACAGTGTGGACTCCTAAAGCTAGTCCCTGGCCTTGCCTGAGGTCTCTGCTTCCCCATCCAGACAATGGGCATAGAATTTCCCCCTCCACAAAAGGGTTAAGATCAGGCATCTTCAAAATGAGTATAAACAAGACCAGGGATCTGAAGAGGTCCTTTTCTAAGCCAAGTCTATATTGAAGAAGATGACTAATCAAGAATTCTTGACCTGATACTTCATCATGGTTGGGGATAGAGGTGCCCAGGCTTCGGGGCCACAAGGACAGGAAAGCAGAAGGGCCTGGGCCATGGTGGTTGGTAGCTGAGGGTAAAAAGGCCCATTGTGGGAATTCCTTGGAAAAGCTCCCTGGAGTCCCCAAGGCCCATGGGAGGTAGAAGGGGGCAACTTCAGCACACCCTTGGCACCCTATCCACTGCCTCCAAGGAAAGCTGTTCTGCTTCCGCAGAGGCATGGACACACATACACTCCCTCCAACTTCAGGCATCGTGGTTTTCCTTATTTCTCCAAGACAACCTTCTCCTCAGCAAAGACCATTTGACCTGCCTCTTCCATACCACAGAGAGAGACCACTGGAGCCTGAGAGGGGTGGGTGCACACTGAGAGCAGAGACTGTCAGTGTCACAGGCCATGGAGTGGCTGGGAAGTGAGGCCCTGGGTCAAGGAAAGGGATCCCATCTGAGGAAGGAGGCAGAACCGGTCAGTCTTCACCAGTGCAAACACTGCCCCTAGCCACTACCCTGGCCACTGGATTTGGGTCAGAGAAACTCGCCTGGAGGACCCCAGGGCCTTCAAGACCTCAGAGTGAAGTGCTGGGGGAGTGGTATCGGGTATGCCTACCCCCAGGCTGGAACCGAGGCCACATTCAGTGGTGGGGAGAGCCAGGGCGTCCCTAGAGAAATGGGAGGATCTGTACTCCAAACCGCGGCGAACAAAAGGCAGGCTGACTGGGGCTGGGCAGAGGGGCGGGGCTCCTGGGAGCTACAGCCAGCCCTCTGCTGGACCAGGAGGGAAGTTCACACGTACCCAAACCTGCTCCCCAGGAGGGCAGGGGGACGCCACAGGACTTTCTCTCTTAACCCCCAAAGGAATGCAAAACCCGGGGAGGGGTTCCATGAGGCTGGGCCCTCTGCACCTCCAGCTCACACACAGCCAGCAATCTGGAGGGCAAGGGTCCCAGCCCCCACCACACAGACCTCCACAGGTGGGACCTGACTGGATTGGAAGTGGAATGAAATATCCATCCTCCCCTGGGAGCAGGGGGGACAAGGGGCCTCCCTTGACATCTGGGATCCTTGAACGCTATCTGTCTTCCTGGTCTATGCTCACAGCTCCCACTCAAAATAAAATTTTACTGAAAAGGCAGAAGAAAAAGACTACAAGTCCTATTTCTAGCAGAGATCTGAGTAGGAGACACAGATTCCTACAGAATGAAAGGGTTAAGCTGTCAGCACTCACCTCTTCCTTCTCTGATCCCCAGATTCCTGTGTCCCTTTCCCACCACAGAGCTGAGAAGGAACTGGGCCTTCCTACCCACCCCCTGAGGGGTCAAGAGACTCACCTTCATGAGGTTTCTGCTCTCCTGCTGTCATGGGTGCAGCCTGGGACCACTGAGGACAAAACAAAGAGCAAAGAATGGGAATGGGCAGGGGCAGGGTTGCACTGGCCCAGCCACCCCACCCTTGCTCCTTCCTCACCTCCTCCCAGCCCGAAGCCTCTGGCTTCTCCAGGGTTTCTGTATGGAACAGGGGACCTCTGGGAGCTCCCCACAGCACAGAGCATGCTGACCACCCCCAGACTGCTCCAATTCTGAAGCCAAGGAAGATAAAGACTGACCAGATATTGGGGTGTGGGGAGGCTCAAAACACAGGAGGAAAACACCAGAATGCTGCACTGTCCAGGTCCATGCCCCTCCCCCACATTTCCCTTTCCCAGGTCTCATTGGCCCCTTGCTGAGAAGTGAAGCCTCTCAGCCCCCCAGACTCCCTGGTCCAAAGCCACAGGTAAGTATTAAGGTCAAACAGGAGGACAAATTTGGACTGGGGCAGGAAGGAAGGACTGGGGGCGAGAAAAACAACATGGTGACCTTCTCCTGCTGACATGACAAATACCAGGGTGAGCTGGTGCTGGGGAGGGAGGGGGGTGCGGAGGACCGAAGGGCACCAACCACCCTCCCCCATTCAAACTCCTCTGTCCTCAGGAATATTCAGCAAAACCCAGGTTGTCCAGAGGGTAAAACTTGGGAGGAAACCCTGGGGAGGGGAGGCCCTCAGTTTTCCCCATGCACAAATCTCCCCAGAGCCTGAATATATCTTCAAAGTCCCGGGCCTCGCATTCCCACCTTGTTCCCTGGTTTCTTCTCCCTCCCAGACTGAGGAGGTCCCAAACCCCTCTCACCTGCTGGGCACCTTCCTCAAAGGCAACCAGGGAAGCCTTTTATGCCTTACCGCTGCCCAACCCCTAGGGGGCCCCCTGAACTACCTAAGCCTGAGGCTGCCAGGTCCCTCCCCACCCCCATCAGATCATTCCTCCCCTCTCCAGTGCCTGTGAAGGTCAACTAGCCCAACCATGTGGACCTGACAGCACCTCGCAGGCAAAGGCTTCCTCCAGCCCTTCCAGGGGGTCTACAGGTCTCACCACTGCCCACCCCACCTGCACCTCTTTGGCGGCGGATTCTGAGCAACAGAGCTGCACTCTAGCCCACAGAACTGCAGACTCCAAAGAGTCTGACAGTCTGCCTCTCTACTTCCCACACCTTCCCCCATGAACCCCCAGCCTTGCCCCAAGGGGCAAGGTCAGGTAACAGTTCCCAGGATCCCAGCTGGAGGGCCACCCACTGCAGCTTCCTCAGGGACCCCCTGGAGTGCCCACCTTAGCCCCTCACCCACCTCCATGGCACTGCCTGGCTTCCCTCTGTCAATATTCTCCCTATACCCTCCACTCCTCCTGGGCCCAAAAAAGCAAAGGGGACAGAAACTTCATACCCTCTCCTAGGCCAGGGGGCACTGGGAGGGGCAGTTCTGGGCGGGGAGGGGCCAGGTGCCCTTCTCTGGGGGCCTCTGAAGGTCACAGTGTGGCCAGGCGGCGGGCCTCTCCTCCCCCTCCCTCCCCCTACTTGGAGGCCTGGAGCCAAGGCCTTTGTGCCAGGGTCTGAGGAACGCTGGGTGGCATCAGGGACCCCAGCCCATTTCTTTCCTTTTGCCTCTCTCCAGGGGTACTCTGGCTGAAGGAAGAGCGGAAAAAAGACCCCTTAGGTGGTTTTGAGAAGCAAGCTGGGTGGCCAAGTTTGCAGTTCCAAAAAACCACCTGCTCCTGCTCCAACGCCCATTTCAGCAGAACAAAGTGTGTTTGCAAGGCTGTCAGGAGCTCCCTCCAAAGGTTCCGGGAGGGCTAGTCCCACATTGCCTGAGTCACAGCAAATTTCAAACCATTTTTCCAAAAAGTGTAAAGTGGGATAAAGACACTTTTTAAACCCTCCCTTAGGCCACCCCCATAAAAGCTAAAGCACAGATCACTCGGAAGTGTGGGGGAGGGGAGGGCAGCAGGCTGTCACCAAGTCGGGACTTTAGGTAGAGTCTCGACAAAGCACTGAGGTGGGCCCTGGCACCCCGACTCCTGATAGTGATCATTCTTTCCCTGGACTCTGGGACCGGAGAGGGGTTAAACAGATCTTAGCAGAGAGGAGTCAAAAATAAAGGGGTGGCAGGGGATTCTCTTCGAGCTAGGGAGGAAATGGGAAAGGGGTATCAGGAAATTCTTCTTAAGAGGGGGTTAGGAGCTGGGGACAGCGGGAGGGATAGGGGTGGTTCTCTGGATCCTTCCGATGGGGCTACCTCGAGAGGTCACCTT